AGTGGAGATTCAGGTTTCGGACATGTGTGCGGCAGAGCAGACAAAGAGGCTGGAAATGTAGGAAATGACAGCTGAGGAGTGTATATGCATGTCTGTGTGTGTCTCTGTGTGTGTGTTAAAGAGAGAGAGAGAGCGCAGGAGAGAGGGACTGAGTGGGAGGGGGGGAGGAGGAGGGAGGAGAATCAGATCAGAGAGGATGCGAGCGTGCCACAGTCCAAAGAGCTGAAGTGAGGCCGACAGGTGAACGGCACAGAGCCGGGAGACGGAGATAAGTACACCCGGAGAGACGGAGGAGATAAGTACACCCGGGGAGGGGAGGCGCGGACTCTGAGTCATCTGTCCAGCAGGTCTCTGCTCGGACTTTCCCAGGAGCGGCCAGGGCGCACGAGTAAGTTTGCTGCCGCGCTCCACGCTGGACGTCAGCTGGTCCCGGAGACCTAACATTTTACCCAACATTACCCTGGCGCATCACTTCTCGGCTGCAGTGCCTTACGTAATGTCATTTGTTGTGGTATTGGGATGAAATTGTGGCTTTGTGCCTGAAATCAATCTGCGGGAGGGCTTATATGGCATAGGATGTGTGTGTGTCTGTGTGTGTGTGTGTGTGTGTGTGTGTGTGTGTGTGCTGTCTCACATTTCTGATCAGGGAGTTAGCACCGGACATTTCTTCGGCCACTTCACTGTTTGTTTTCATTCAGTTCTTTTTTCAAGTGAGACTTCAACCTTGTTATTACATTTCTCTGCCTGATTATTCTGTAGTTTGGGTCCCTTTTTTCTTTCTTTTTTTTTACAATAACACTGTCTGCATAACATAGGTATGACTTGTAATTTTCTTACAAACTGTCACATCTCTCTCTCTCCTGTGTAGTGTGTGAGCATATGTTTCTGAGGCCTGAATCCATTTATTGACATCAAATCTAATTAGGAGTTGGGGCCAGCTGATGCTTTTTCCTATGGGAAAGCTGCTGTAAAAGGTGTTTTCTTTGGGAACATGCTCACACTCGCAATTGTTCCCTTTTACTCTGGGTAGACGTACTGCAGAACTTCATTTGACTGGAGAAACACTTTATGTGTGACAGCAGCGAGGCAGGGCCGTATGTTAATGATTCATGCTCTGTTTTCGTCACCTACATTTGAATCTTAGTGCAATCGGCGAATGCGAACCCAGATTTACATCTCGGTCAGTCCCCCTGCAGAGCAGCAGGTCCCTCACCCACAAGCTCTGCAACAGCTCCGAGCACTCACCTGTTTAACTATGCATTGGAAGCATCATTATCTCTATTGGGAATTATTCATTTTTTAGCTTTTAAGGGTTCAGTTTTGTCTCACGGGAGGAATAAATGCTTTCGGAGGTCGGTTCCTTTCAGCTGCTGCAGAACACCAGATGCAGGGAGCTGATGCATATTTCATTGTGACTGCTGCAGCTTCCCTTTATCATTTTAGACAGCAATATACATTTTTAACTTTGTATTTCTCTCCATTCATGATCATCTGTAGTCCGCATTTGTTTGCTTTATTTGGTGGATTTGAAATTGGAATAGCTTTAAACAAATGTGAAAGCTTTTTGACATGTCACTGTGCTGGCAGAATATTCATCAGGGGTCCTGGGAAGGTAAAGTTATGCTTGTGGAGGACAATGAGCTATTCTGCCGTACAAAAAGAGGGAGAAACTGTTGGAATAAATGTTAACTGCATATCTTGGAACTCCAGATACCTCAAGCATTTTAGTAAAACAGTGGAAAAAGGAGGCTGAATGGAGATATCCGAATGTAAAGTGTTCTGGAGTAAAATATTACACTTTAAACAACAAAGCTAGCTTATTATTCAGAGAAAGTGCTTTATATATCATACAAGTAATAAAAAGAGGAACCACGAATAAAACAAGCAGCTAATAGAGTTACATCATTATTTGTTTGAAAGCCTGTGGATAAAATGAGTTTTCAATGACACCGAGCCTTCCTCTGTTTGATCGTTAGACATGGATCTCCAAAGCCAGAGGGCCTGAGCAGTAAAAGCCTGATTACCTTAAGGGACAGGTTTTGATTTAACAACCCCAGAAATGGCCCCACCCTTGAGCTAGTTCAAAAGACATTAAAGGTTCAAAAGGTTAAAAGGGTTAAAAGGTCACGTAAACATACAGAGAGATGAGCATTTCTGACATCAGATACAAGCAATAAAATCCTAAAATCTATTTTAAATACGTTATTTAAGCACAGATGCTGTAATATTCCCACTTTGCTGGAAAAAACTTGGTTGCAGAATTCTGAATCAGGTTAAATATTTCTTCTTTTTTTTTTCAGTTGCCGATACCAGAATAAGGTATTCAATTTTGGACAACAGAAAAGTTCCGTTAACCTCTTCCAGAAACTGTACTGTAAAGAAAAGAACCATAATATTTTTTGACTTCAGGTTTAAGAACTCTTATCGGCATGGTTTTTTGTTCATTAAAAAAATCTCAATATCCAGTTTTTACCCTCATGTTGAAAGAAAATACAAAAAACCTCTGGAGCATCATTGTTTGGGAGAACATATCACTTCAAATCAGACAAAACACATTTGATTAAACAAACTGGACACGTACAGTTTGTTTAATGGATCGATACAGAGACTTAACTTAAACAATGACGTATACTTTCTTGCATTTATGTTATTTACCATTTAAATAAGTTGCTGAAATCATCAGTACAGTGCAGTGCTTTGGGCCCAAGTTTTTATTCCCAGAACCTGATAACATTTCCAGTGTTGTTGCCTTTAGTTGTAGCATTTGATGACTTAATGTTCTCTTCATTATAGGAAACAAGATGGGAATGACCCTAGAATTACTGCTCCGCTAGAGCCCCAGCTGTTCCAGCCTACGGTCACACACACCGCCTCTCCATTCCACAAGGTAGGAGGAGAATCAGGGGTATTAACGATGAACCGTGACCCCTGACCTTATCAGATACATCTGCAACTTCTCCTGTCTGTGACCTTTGTGTTTCTCCTCATTCTGTCTCTTCGGTTTCTGTCTGGAAGCACCTGCTCAGAGCGGTGTCTCGGTTGGATCTCTTATGATGTATTATTGGATTCACCCTTCCTGCTGGACATCGGCTTTGATTTTCATTCCTTTCCTTTTTTTTTGTGTGACTTGTGTAATCAGAGCGCACAAAGCTCAGCGACTGGGATCATTTTGTTTGACTGATTCAATTAATAGAAATCCATTTTTAGCAGGAAACAGTCAGTCTGATGCTGACAAATGTGCAGCACATGCCTAAGGAGTGGGATTCCATCAAAGCATACAAATCACAGCCTGTCGGAGCAATTGTCATTTTCAAATCAGAAGACAGGCCTTTTCACCCCCACCGTCACCCATGAATAGAGACCAAAATAAACTTCATAAGATGTAAATTCATTTTTCTTCGGAGTTAAGTTTCTCTCCCATCAATAAAAAGGACGCTCAAATGATTTTTAAAAGCCGAAAATAAACTGTTGATTTACTCTTGAGTGCATTTGAGATTTGAGATCTTTTTTTTTTTTCTTCCAAAGGAAAATACACAAGGAAATAGTTGAATACTACTGAAAGTGAAAATAATTTAAGAATAAACAAGGCTGCATATAAATTTATTTTCAGAGTCACAGCACCATGCAAATCCATCATGTTTGTCAGGTTTGGCTTACCTTCAGCGCATTTAACAAATTAGTGTTTGATGTAAAAAAAAAAACCTGCTGGTGATATTTTTGGAAAGTAGAAACAGGAAAGAGAAAATTCTGACTAAGCGGTGATCAAAAGCGGATATGAAACACACTCATGTCAGACTGGTTTTGTCAGGACTCTCACAATCTGGAATAAGCTTTCGCTTCTCAAAACCTGACTTAATCTTTGGAGAGCAGAGGAGGGGAAAAGAAAGGGATTAAGAATGAGGGAATTTGGTGATTGGGTTGTTTAACAGTGCCTTCTGATCCCCGCGGCACTTTTTACTCACAACTGGATGGAAGTCAGGCAGGAGGAGAGCTTTTTTTTTTTTTTTTCAAAACCTCTTTGTGCTGTGCACACCCTGGAAGCAAAACGGCAGAAGAAAAGCTTTGCATTCATTTGGTTTGCTGTCTATTATTATGCCTATTCCTTGTTTATTTTGAGTTTTAGGAAGAGCAAATATAGTGAGAGCACAGTGAGGGAAGACGTGCTAATGTGGTGCACTGTAGTACAACAAGGGTTTAATGGGGCAAGACTCAGAGGAGCATATCACTTTAAACCGGGCCCACAGAAAAGCAGGTCAATCTGCAATTAACCCTTCTGGTCTTACGGTCTGCCTAATTCAACCAGGCCACTGTCCAAGCAGTGGCCACATTGATCATCTCGCACAAGAGAAGTAAAGCAAACTCATTTCTAAGAGACTGTCTGCAATTTTACAGTTTACTCCGCAGCTCAGAGTGGAAACTCAAATAAATTACATCCCCGAAGCAGCATTTAGCTTAACCTGCAGACATGCGTCTCTTTTTTACATCGTTGCATCATGGTGTTTGTAGTCCTTTTGATATTTTGGCATTTTTCTTGCCATCCCACAGCCTTGTCAATGTTAGTGAGGCGTAACTCATTCAGCCCTTTGTGAATCTGAGATGTAAGGACACATCTAAAAAAACAAAACAAACAAACATGTGTGCTGTGCATTAAAAAACAAAGCCACCACCTCAAGTCTTAATTTTCCCTCTGAGGATGCCAAGACTTGCAGCTGACACGGCTGGAGTGGAGAGGAGGGGTTGCGCCTCTAATTTGTCCGTTGTCATAATGACGATCCTATTGGCTCCCTTAATGAGAGGTCCCCGCCTGAACACCTGCTCTGTGCGGGAGGCCCGGGCTCCTCTGGGAACCCCACGCCTCTGGACCTCTCTGCAGAGATGGGCTCACTTTTATGCCCTCACAAAATTGCTGCTTGTCGTCAGTTTGACGGCTGTCTTGTGAAGCATCCTTTTGTGACGCTGCTTTTTTCAATTAAAATGCGAGCGTCAGTGGAAATGATAACATTTAATTCCAATCACTGCCAAGATTCAGTCGGTCTTTAGGACAGAGGTGGTTGATGTGATTTGGAATCCCTCCTGCAGTGCTGTCAGGACAGAGTGAGATGGTCAGCAGAAGACGATGCCTGTTGCCTAAACCATAGGAGTACTTCTCTGACCTTAAGCTTAACAGCTGGCTGTGGGCTGCAACCTGAGACACACTCTCGCTGATAGCTTTGTTTGTTCAGAGCGTGCACTGTCACAGCCCGCCGATCTTCCCTCCAGCTTTTGGTTGCAGGCAACAAGGATGCGGCTTTATTCCAGGTGTCACTTCGTTACAGAGTCAAGCCGTCTGCTGTTAGATACGGCTCCGCTCTCATGGAGGGTTTAAACCAGGCCTGCTGAAGTCTGTCACATGGAAACAGCTTTTTTGTTTTTTTGTTTTTTTTCGACGGTGCAGGATTTCAGTTTTACGGAGATTTGACTATGGCTAAAACTCTTGAAAAGTGCCACTCCGCTCCAGTGTTGACAAAGACACACTGGAGGAAGCCCAGCAATGTAAGTAGCTTTGCTCTGCGGGACACCATGATGGAGAGAACAGTCTGAATCACCTCTGAGTGAAACAGAATGGGTTTCATATGGTAAAAGTCTAAACTTTACATTGATGATCAATTAATCTAAAGATGGTTTTTGAGCAGAACAGAAGCTTACTTAATTCATGGCTAATGCAATGTTTTGTTGGAGGCCATATTTTTTTCTGAAAAAGCTTAGAACTGTAGCTGATGTTGTTCTGAACTCTGGGTCAGGGGGAGGTATTTACTTTTAGGGTTTGTGGCAGACTATTGTTTGCACATGGCGGAGGACTTTACTCATACTCACACAGGAAGCCACGTCATGATAGCTCAGTACACAAAACGTTTCTGTAGGGCTTTACTCGCTCAACCTTTCAGCCCTGGCTTTACTACACCAGACCACCGTCCACCGATTGTGTTTGTTCACAGTTTTTTTCCTCGCTGTTCAAAGATGAAATACTCAACCCCAACATGTAAGTTATGCTCGTTGAAAAAGATTAGACATTTTACAGAATGCAGAAATACAGTGAATTTGAATGCAGCTCAAAATACATTCAGAGCATCACTGAATGAATTTTGTTCTTACAGAAGGAAACATTTTGAAAGGTTGCTTCTCAATCTTGATCTCCTGTAGTACCTTTAACTGCACTGTTCTGTGGTGTTGGACATTGTACACCGCTGTCCCTCTAAAACTCCATTTCTGCTCATGTTTGTGTGTGTGTGTTTGAGAATACATGAGAAAAGGTAGTCGTCCACTACCCGGATGAGACATAATCCATGATACACAAACCCAGCTCCAAAAAGTTAAGAAGTCAATGAACACAGAATGGAATTATTTCCAAATTCCCCAACAGAACATTGAATACATAACAAAGGCTGAAAGTGGTCAATCTTACCATTAATTTAATGAAAAATACAAGCTCATCTGCATTTATTGAGATCATTTAACTCAGGCTGTTGTATATTGTTTCATTTTTAAATTTGTTTTTCTTTGTTCTGTACTGAACAAAGTGTCATAAACTTTTCTTTTTATATAATTGGGATGGCCTCTTTTTTTTTGTGGTAGTGTCAATATTGCTCTTGGGGTCATCCCTAATATAGCCCGCTGCAGTCAGACTAAAGCAAAACTGATGAAAATGAAGCTCCAGATATTAGCAGAATCCCAAACAAACAAACTGAATCCCAAACAAACAAACAAATCCTCACGGCTGGCAAGTGAACTCAAAATTGTCATTTCCTCTCCCCAGACCACAGATTTATTTGAAATGATTGAAAAGATGCAGGTAAGATGCCGGACTGATCGTTGATTCCTCGTCTCTGCTCGATGAGCTGTTCTCACTAACATGCCGGCGTGTCTCTGCTCCACCCTGCTGCGCCTCTCCTCGGCTCCAATTCTCCTCATCTCTCTGCGCCTGAGAAGGATTTTGAGTCTTGTACTTTCAGAGGAGTGTTGCCAGAGCCGTGTGTCTTTCAGTGCGTCTCTGTTCACGTTGAAACACTAGCTGACAGCACTGTAAGCTTATTATCTCACTTCAAAAGCCATCTCCTGGTTTCTGAAGCCTTTGGAAAGATGTCCTATTTAATCGCGCAATCCCACACATAAGAGGCTAAGAGTTCCATGATAGTGCTTATCGGAAGGCATGATGTCTTCTTTTTTTTTTTTTTACACTTTGTGCCTTAGTGTTGGTGTGCACATGAGTCACTGCTCTCTGTCGCTTTGGCATCTTACATTCGAAAACAAAAGCCTCCCCCTTTATTCAGGCCGCATTGAGGAGACGCATGTTTTTTCTCCGAGGGCAGGCACTTCCGCTTGGCCCGGTCTTTTCATCAGAGCATCTCTTCGCATTTACTCCTCCCGCACGTGCACCTGCACCTCGAAGGGCAACGGCTACAAATGGGTTCCAGCAACCTCAGCACCTCTTTTAACCTCCACCGTGTCTTCTCCTGTGTATTTAATACACTTTTCTGTCGCTTCCCACTCCTCACTGCCCCTCAGTATCCCCTCCCTGTGTGTGACATGTTTCTCTGTGTCTCTAAGTGTGCCCTGCTGACTTTACTTACTATTCTGCTTGCTGTATATCTCTTGGGAAATGTTTGTTTGTCCTTACATAATAAATATGATCCTTTTTTGTTTGGTTGGTTATATAGGTCCATGATTATTTAAGCTGCCCTATCAAGATTGTTTTTCTTCCTGAACTCAGTTATCTGCCTGGACCTCTCTCCATTGACTCCCCTCCCTCTGGTTTTCTTCTTTTATCTTCCGACAGGGCAGCAGGATGGATGAGCAGAGATGCACCTTTCCTCCTCCTCTCAAGGTATGACTTTCACATAGAAGCATCAGTCGTGGGTCTAACTCTGCCACTGCTCAGTCACGAGCACAAGATTCAGTAGCCAAATCCTGCTGCTGTGCTCAGCAGATTGAAATGCCGACCATGACTTCACCTGATCCCTCCGTCTCTGCTCAGCCGTTCACCGTTGCATAAGTCTTACGCAATTAGTCCCACAGGATAGCAGAGTTGGACACTGTGGTTATTTTTATTCTTTGATGAAGAAAACACATCTGCACGTGTTTTATTCTTTTCAGACCGAGGAAGACTACATTCCATACCCAAGTGTCCATGAGGTACGGAGACGAGTTTCAGCAACTTTTTATTTTTTACAACTTGTGTATCTAAACCCCTGTGATGTGGACACTAATCTGAGCTATCACTGTTTTAAACTGGACAGGTGCTGGGGAGAAAAAGCCCCTTTCCCCTCATCCTGCTGCCGCAGTTTGGGGGTTACTGGATTGAGGGGACCTACCACGAGCTTAGCGACACATGGGTCAGCGAGCAGCTTCAGCCTCCGTCTCCCAACACTCGCACCAAGCTGGAATGTAACACAACGGCCACGATATACCGTAAACACTTCCTGGGAAAGGTCAGTTGAACCTCGGCCAAACCTTCCGCTTCATAATGCAAACTGAACGTGCTGCAAAATAAAGGACAATGACTGTGCAAAAAAATGTTATGAATCAACACAACAGGAAACTGGAAACATCTCCCATGTGGAACATTAAACCAGCCCAATTATTGCCTTACTCAGTAATATTTACTACCAAGCAATTAACGACAACATATCGCATGATTTCATCTATATCCTCCAAATGTTCAACGTTTCCTCTAAAGCGTTGCTCAGAAGTTGGTGTAAGTGAGCTGTGCGTCTGCATTTCGATGAGTGTCATCTTTACAAAGCAGACGCAGAGTGGGCACGTGCTGTTTACCTTTTGCTGACAAGTTTCAGAAATCTTTGCATCTGCTTCTCCGGTTTAAAGCCTTTCTTCCTCCCTCAGACGTGTGTGGTTAATCTCATTAAATTGAAAAGGGCTATTATAACACATACAAAATTAGCGTGAGCATAAGGAGAGAGAGCACTCGCGCACCAAATGACTCATGATTAGTCTGCCGTCCGTATTTTGAAAGCAAGCGGCTTTGGAAGCAGCTGAGCTTGAGGCGTTTCGTCACTCCTCTTACTGACCTGCTCCATCTGCCTCAGGGGAGATGGATGGAGAGGTTCATGTGAAAGAGGAGTCTAGCGTGGGTTGCTTGATCTTTGATGCTCTGTTTATAACTATCCTTTTTCTTCTCTGACTACTTGAAAGTGTTTGGCTTTTCTGTTATGCTGACATGTTTTTTTCTTGGTCTGATGCTGATGATAATCTCGATAGTTACGCTCAGGTCCTGGTTATTCTCCCTTGACCAGTCGATTGGTGACATTTCTCATACATTCTTGGTACATATTGTAGCGCTTCTTCATATGTTTTTGATTTTTCACAGTAATTTTTTTCCCATCAGACTTGTTTTGGCTGAGACAGGAATATCGGATGATTTTGTTGTTTTGTTTTTGATCTACCGATGAAACTCGGTCTGCAGATTTTCAGCCCAGCTCATACATCCAGGAGCGCTCATTAAAACTGCTTCTTTGCTTCTCATTACTCACACTGGGAAGGGTGGTTGACATTTGATCAGCCCATATGAAATGAAAGAGGAAAGAAAAGAAATCCCTGCAGGGTACACCTGTAACAGAAAGCAGGCTCACAGGTGCTAATGAGGGTGCAAACCAAATAAATATGATCTGCATGTAGGAAGCAGCAGAAATGGGACTCGGGCCAGAAAGTGATGAAGTATTCAGATTTGTGCCTGTGCGGTAGCTATACTGATAGTGGTCTGCTTACACTCTGCCCTCAGGAACACTTTAATTACTATTCAGTGGACGGGGCCCTCGGACATCTGGTGTTCTCCCTAAAATACGACGTGATTGGCGAGCAGGAACACCTTCGTCTAATGCTCAGGTAACACTCATTATGCATACAAGCTTTCAGGCAGCGTGGCACTCCTGGATGCACACCGGTACACGCAGCAATTACCGCACCGCGTCCACGGTCAACAGGAGACACAATAGATGCGGCATAATCATTTTAGCCCTGAAATGGCTTGTGTTGACAGGGCGCACACATCCTCCCCAGGCGTTATCATACAAGTCATAAAGCTAAAGAGAGTGTCAACAGAGCTGTCACTTCCACAGCAAAGTAACAGATGGACTATTTAGGCCAGCAAGTGGGTGGCAATGGAGGGAAGGAGCGAGGGACCAGTGGTAGGGAAAGAGAAGCGAGGGCGGGGATGTTTGATGGAGTAACAAGCCGGGTTGTCTCTAGCTCATCAGAAAGGAGCTTAGCTTCTTGTTAAATGGGTTTTAAATAGCTATTGTTTTATGATCTGACCAGGACCAAGCTGAAAACCTATCATGATGTGATTCCCATTTCCTGTCTGACTGAGTTCCCCAACGTGGTCCAGATGGCCAAGGTGAGATGAGACGTTTTTGTTTCCACAGCCATCTTTTTTTGGGGCGTAGTGGGGGTGGTTCTTACATTTTCCCCTCTGTCTTTTATTTTCCAGCTTGTCTGTGAAGAAGTCAACGTGGATCGTTTCTTCCCCGTCCTTTATCCAAAAGTAAGTTTTTGTGCTGCTGGTATTTTTTTTCCAGCCATTTTTCAGCATGTGATCATTAAAAGTATTTAGCTTCATACTTTTGCCACCAGGCATCTCCAAACAGATGCTCAAATGCACATTTGTTTTGAAACCCTTTGATTTTATTCCCAATCTGTCTGTGGATGAAGAACAAACTGCCTCCAGATCCACCTACATTGCTCAACAAGTTGGAGTATATTAATGTATCATTATAACATGAGTTTTTAGAATTAGTGTAAAATCAGTAAACTCTTACACTCTTATCTGTGAGGAATTTTCAACCATAGCTGGCCAAGAGTTTTGCATTTGACGGAGACATTTTGCCCAATAATTTTATGTGCAGTCCACAGATGAGAGCTGGAGAGAGAAAAATGGATGCATACTAAAAAGCTCAACATGTAGCCAAACATACATAATATAGTTACCAATCAGTGTTTTAAGAGAAAATGAAGGACATATTATTTAATGTCTCTCTTATATATGTCACTTTTACAGGCTTCAAGACTTATCGTCACCTTTGACGAACACGTGATAAGCAACAACTTCAAGTTTGGGGTCATCTATCAAAAGTTTGGACAGGTGAGCCGCGCAGCCTGATTGTAAACTGGAGTCTTGGCTCCATAAAGATGCACGCGTCATCCCACATTCAGCCTCCAAGAACAGTCAGCAGACACCGCATATTGTAATTTCTGATTTCCTCAAGGAAGCGTTTTTTGTTCGGTCCCTCTCGTTTTAATTATGGTGTTCACTCAAGCACAGTCATTGTGGCTGCTTTCAGCTCACCCTCTCATTTTCTGAGGCAATCAGCCCTTTTGTGTACTCTTAAGGGGAGCTGAGGGCGGGAGTGCAGTGGAGCAATCGGATGCTTTTCGGAGGGCAATTACAAAAAAAGAGTGGAGATCTGCACTGTCTTGAACACTTTGTTACGTACATGGGAACTTAGCCGAAGGGCCACCTCCCAGAGGCATAAAACACCCCTTGCTCATTTCTGTTCTGCATGGGTGCTAAGTAGAAAAGACAGCGTGACTTGGCCGGATTGTTGCATTAGGCGGGGGAGGAAACAAAATAAAAATTTTGTTCAGTTGCAGCTCCTTCTCGGGCATTTGTTGGTTTGAAGGCAGGCGTTTGTGTCCACCACTCTGGTAGCTGGCAGTAGATAATCAGTCGCACTGCACAGATAATCATAATCACAAGCTTTGCTTTTTCCAGTGGGTGTTGTCATATGTAAAATTGATTGGTGGCATGTTTGCCGTCTTGGATGCAAATGCAGTATATTGAATCTCGGAGATGCTCTTCCCTCTTGTTTGTTGTCATTGAACCTAATGCTATGAAAATGTTTGTTCAGATCAGTTTTTGCTTCTCTTCTCTGGCGTATTATGTTGTAATAAATTGTAATAAATTATAATAGAAAGCATGCAGACAATTTCATGTATCATATACTTGTAACTGCAGTGGCTTTCATTTCCTATCATTTTCCTCATTAGACTTCAGAGGAGGAGCTGTTTGGTAACAGCGAAGAGAGTCCTGCCTTTGTAGAATTCTTAGAGTTTCTCGGTGAGAAAATCGAGCTTCACAACTTTAAAGGGTAAGAGTTTTTTGACGGTGGTTCAGAAAGAAATAAATATCTCCTAAGAACACATTTTCAGAAGCGAGATGCCCGCTGCAATTTGCATCGCATCAAGCATGTTTAAGGAACGATGCTCATGCTGCAGCGGTGACGGCGGAATATCCTGTTTGACACGGCTCCGTCTGTTTGCAGTTTCCGTGGAGGTTTGGATGTGACTCATGGGCAGACTGGCGCAGAATCGGTCTACTGCAACTACCGCAACAAAGAGGTCATGTTCCACGTGTCCACAAAGCTGCCTTACACAGAGGGGGACACCCAGCAGGTAGCGTAACTCAACACCAGCCCGACACACCTTTCTTGATTCACTGAGAGCTGTCGGACAAGTTCCCCGTGGGTGTCACATATTGTCGCATTTGTGCAGATACACCCTTGTGGTGTCAAAGGACAAGAGCAATTATGAGAGAAATGAAAAAGAACAGATAGAACGTCCTAGTTGTTAACCGTCTGATGCTTTTGACGGTGTGTCAGTCTATGTAAGAGGAGACCCTCCCTCCTTCCTCTTATTGCAAACTCCTCTTTCCTCCCTCTCATGCGTTTAGACAAACACTCATAAACACCAGCCATAAAGCACCGGCTCAGGTTTTGCAAAGACACACAGACGTGGGTGTGTTCTTTGTGTGCTCAGTGGTGTGTTTTTTAATGGTAAATCAACTACTTTGACCCGGCATTGCTCGTGCTGGCCGATAGTTGATGGGTAAACAGCATCCCCTTCTGGCATTTTGTGGGAGAAAATTGTTTGTAATTGTTTCCCAGTGTGTGCTTTCCATAGAAAGTAGGATTTCTTAACTTTTAGATCGACTCATTGAGATTATTTAGATTAAAATGTCCCAGCTGTCCCATCTTTGTGTCACTACTTGTGAAACGTAGGGTTTTAGTTGACTGAAACACTATATTAATAGAACCAGTGAATCTCTACATTCAGTTTGCAGTTGATTTCTATTGTGACAGGAGAGTATTTTACATTGTTTCACCAATAAATCCAGTCACTCATTTGTCATGGGGCTTTTGTGTTGCAGTTGCAGAGAAAAAGACACATAGGAAATGACATTGTAGCTATTGTATTCCAAGAAAGAAATACTCCCTTTGTGCCAGACATGATTGCATCGAACTTTCTTCACGCTTACATCGTGGTCCAAGTGGTCAACCCCGGCTCTGACAATGTTCTCTACAAGGCAAGCAGCTTTCTTTACCTCTTCATTTGTCCGACAGGTGTTCAAATGTTTCCTTTGGAGATAAGATTATTGATTTAATTTCACCTCGCAGGTGTCTGTGACTGCAAGGGATGATGTTCCGTTCTTCGGCCCGGCCCTTCCAAACCCAGCCGTCTTTAAAAAAGTAAGAGCTAGATCTACAACATCCATCTGTTTGCTCTCCCCATTATCCATTTTTTTTCCCAGTGGGATACCTTTTCTCTCTTCTTCTCCTTTTTTTTTTAGGGCCCTGAATTCCATGAATTCCTTTTTACGAAGCTAATCAATGCGGAGTACGCTTGCTATAAAGCTGAGAAATTTGCCAAATTGGAGGTGAGTTGTTAAGCATTGTTTGGTAACATTTCTGTCATAAAGTCAAAGACAATATCACATGCTTTTTTTTTCTTTCATGTCTGTCTTTGTGCACATTCATGTAAGGAACGAACAAGGTCGGCTTTGCTAGAGACCCTGTATGAGGAGCTCCACGTGAACAGCCAGGCCATAATGGGTGTCGGAGGAGAGGACGACAAACTGGAAAATGGAAACGCAGGAGGGGGAGGCTTCTTTGAGTCCTTCAAGGTAATTGGAAATCCAGGCACAGAAACCGGAGATACTAAGCTGACAGAATGCATTCACTTCCAGGAACTTTTCTGAAAGAAATGCTGTCAGTAGTGAAACAAAGTTTTATTTGTTCAATTTGACACAATTTCTAATTCGAGAATTAGCAAAGAAAAATAGGGTTCTTTTTGACTCCCTGTTACACCCTTAATGGTGTAACATTAAGATTCCAATGATTTGAAACATACAGAGACCCCACTGGGTATTTTTACTCCCCACTCATTTCCAGTCACAGGCTATCTAAGATAACCTGCTGTGGGCCGTAGTTTCCTAAAGCAGCCAGATTTGATTGTCTCACCTGACTCACTGCAAGAAATCTACTTCCAAAATTTTCAAACTATTCACTCTACCAGTGCAACTTCAAAAACTATTGGAAGACAGTAACAGTGTGACAAAACACAAACAAAATCGACTGTGAGGGACATTCTGATTTGATACCTGCGGTCACATGTTCTTTTTTACTTCTCTCTGGCAGTATTTGTGGATTGTTCTTTTCAAATGTCAGCTGGGCTGCATGAGCTTTATCCCTCAGCAGCCATTAAATCTGAATGAAGAGAAGCTCTGCTGCTTTCCCCACCAGGGACACGCTGCTCTCCGTCTCTCAACTCGTCTTCGTCTCGTGTCACAGATCCCCGGGGAATCGGGGAGATTTCCTTTTCCTTTCCACGCTCCTGCCTCTCCACTTTTGCTGCAGACAAAAACTGGGACTCACACTTCCTCTGGCTTTCTTTAAAGTCTGGTGTGCTTGGACATCCGTGCGAGCCACATGGCCCTTCCACTTCCTCTCTCTTCCCTTTAACCCTCCTAAACATAATGACAATCACTGAACCCCCCCCCCCTCTGGGTTCTAAAGCTTAGCCGTGCTTTCTGCTGCTTCCTTTTCTGTCAGGATTAGCATCAGACCAGTGCTCTCTGCCTTCAGTGGTCAGCGTTCAGGGACAGCCCCGAGGCTCTTGTCTGCACAGCCAAGCAGACAGTGTCACAAGAGTCAGTGCCATCTGAACGTATCTCCTCCTCCTCCTCATCTCTCTCTGTAGCGGGCCATCCGCAGTAGGAGCCACTCTATGGATGCCGCCGGTCTAGGTTTCAAGAAGCCACACACATTCGCCAATAGCCTGAGCAGCACCTTTAACCACAGCCCAGCAGAGAGCCCCAAATTCCCAGGGATAGTAAGTACAGTCCCACAGAGATGAGCCTTGCTGCTTCTGCCTCCCTCTGCGGCTATGCTAGACTTAATACTCCCTCTTCCCCACTTGCCTGCTTCACTAACTTCTTACAGACAGCTAAGGGGAGCAGATGTAGCATCCTTCAGTGTTAAACCTTAATCCCTAAAAAAAAGAAAAGGCCGCTTGAACAGTCTACATGACAGAGCAAGTGGACACTCCAGGAGCTGAAGGTGATGGTACTGGGTCAAATGCTTTTTTTTTTAACTGGACAAAGGTTCCTTTTGACGCATTTGATTAATCTTCACTGTTCACACGTGCTCGGTTGAATTTCTTAAAAGTACGTGGACTGCTCCTTTTGTGTTTGTGTGCTGATGTGCGCATTCCAGCTAAAAGAGATTAATTTCAAATCAGGTTATGAAGACAAGTATTTATGCAATGCAGTGAAAACTTTGTAGCTTTGCTCTGTGTTTTGTGGCAAATTAGACATTTCCAGTGTATATATATATATATATATATATATATATATATATATATATATATATATATATATGTGTGTATATATATATATTCTTTCTGTTTCTCTGGAGTTGATTTTTTTACCCTGAGCTACAACATAATAGTGTGTTCTGCTTTACCAACATGCCTCACCAATAGGTTTAACAGATGCTTGTGTTTTTGCTCTTATCACTGTGCTATCACAATATCTAATGCCTATATATTCTGCTCTGCTGTTTTTAATCTCTTCTACATCCTCTCCCTCACAGGCATACAACTTACATAAGTGGTTCATCACTTCTCTCTCCCATTCAGCTGCCTGTGCTCCGTCACGGAGCCAAACTGTGTGCATTTGTATTCCTCACCTAACACATGCTCTGTATTTTGTTTAACTAACATGACTTACTGCATGGATGTCTCATGCATATTTGTATATATCTCATGTTTTTTCTCCCCCCCCCCCCCTTTTTTTCCTCTTTTCTCTTTCCTGTCACTCTCATCATCACTCTCTCTGTCTCCCTGTCTCGCTATTCTTCTGTGTCCCTCCATTCATCCCTCCCTCCCTATGTCTCTCCTCTTGTCTTGCCTAGTCATTGCTTGTTCCAGGCAAAAGTCCCAGTAAATATGGACGCCGAGGCAGTGCCATAGGGATAGGAACAGTAGAAGAGGTTCATGTCTAATTCTAACTACTCTCTAACTTGTTTCCCCTCTCTGTTGCTGTGTTTTCGTCTGCATGGCTCCACTCTTTCATGGCTAAACATGTTTCTCTGTACATTACAGTTCTTTTATGTGTATTCTGAAGTATTCTGACTGACATATACTCGAGACAGGATGCACTGAATGACCAGATTTTTTAAAAGTTAAGTTAGAATAAAATGTAAAAGGTAAATAAATCTAAAATTATTTTTGTGTTCATTTCTTAAATTAATATCTCACTGTCATACCCTGGATGAATTACTTGTTAGCATTGTTTTGGCTGTATTTACTGGCATCCCAACTTTTGAGGATAATTTCATGGCAGTCTATGAAAATGTATTCTCATTTCTCATTGGATTAAAGTTTACTCAGATTTGCATGAACAAATCAGTTAAGCCCCTCTAGGATGTCCCTATAGAATTTATAGAGTGACTTCCTTTAGTCGAACATTGTAGGAGTTTCTCTCTTCCCTTCACTTTTTTCTGCTCCACTGCAGTAGATGTTATGCTTTTTGTGTTTAAATGAATCTATATTTGATTCAAAATGATGAATATTCATGATCTGATTGCCTAGTCATGAAGAAATATTTTTTTCGAAAAAAAGAGACCCTCCTGCTCTTTGAAGCTACATTGAATTAAGGTTTTTTTTCAAGTTCTTAATTTGGGCGCTTTAGAAGGGAAGATTGAATGAACAAAGCAGCTGCTGAGGAAGCATATTTAGTGGCAGGCTCTGCAGCCTTTAAACCCACCTTTCATCTCCCACTTCAATGTGCTCTGCTTTGACACCAGCGCTGGTCATTAAACTACCAAGAGCATATTTTAACTTAATTTTTCAATACAGTAACACCATCCTGGCAAAACAGGGGTGGCAAGGTTTTTCAGAAACCATTTCTCAGGGAATATAATTAAATTTGGGCTGTGGGTCAAAATAGCCATTTACCCAGTCTCAGTGATAAATATTTAAAGCTCTTGCGATGACCTTATTTTACTCGCAAGAGGGTTTTTTTTAGGTTTAAATAACAGCTTTTTCCGCTCTCCCTGGCAGTCTCTGATAATCCCAGGGAAAAGCCCGACCAGGAAGAAGTCTGGACCTTTCAGCTCCAGGAGAAGCAGCGCCATTGGCATTGAAAATATTCAAGAAGTCCAAGAAAAGAGGTAAGAGAAGGTTCCTGTGTGCTTTCACATGCAGGGAAACGCCATGTGTCATCGATCTATCATAATAAAGTTCAATCATTTTGTTTCAAACATTTTTTTTTATTTGTTTAATCTTATCAGCACCAGTAGAGACACCTCCCCGAATACTCAGAAAACACCTGACAGTGGCCATGCATCCCAAGACCCCAAATCTGACAACTCGGATCAGAGCTCTCCCGAGGTGCTCACGACCACAAAGAACAGGTGTGTGTGACGGGCAGCTGAAACTCACCCTATGTCGCAGGAAGTGGCGATACGATCTGGCACCTCATGGTGTCTCACTGTGTTCTGGGCATGTATTGGTGAGAGTAACCCAGGGTGTAGTTCTTATCTTTGCGGCAGGACCCCGTCCATCCCCGAGGGTCACGATCTGTCCCGCTCCTCCTCCAACGCCAGCAGCTTTGCCAGTGTGGTGGAGGAGAACGAGACCACGGAGGACTACGACACAGGCATGGTGGGTGAATTCCACTCTTCCTGTGCCGCACCGATTTGCATTCAAAGTTTTTTTCTTATCTGGAGTAGTAGCTTACCCTCCGGCGCATCTCCCCTGCACGCTTTCCCCAGGAGAGCATGTCGTCGGCCGGGACGCCTCATAAGCGAGACTCCCTGGCATACAGCACTTGGCTGGAGGACAGCATCAGCTGCACCAGCACAAACAGTCGTGGAAGCTCTCCAGGTGAGTGTGGAGAATGGAGATGAGAGTGAGAGTGGAGAATGGAGATGTCATGAAGTCTGTTTTAAGGTAGTAAGGGTGGATTCAACATAATACAGAGATCAATACATGTCTCGTGCAAACCATTCAAAAATTCTGATGTTGCAAAGTTAGTAAACATCTTTCTCTCTTGGCCAGCATAAACACAACCTTTAGTTTCCAGGTTTATCATTTTTAATGTCATTTTATTTTTTTCAAAATAAAATCTGACTTCTACAATGCACGTTTGTCCGACTGAAGTGGAACAAAATCAAAGCCCTGGGTCAGAGCTGGCTAATAGTTCAGCATTAAGGTCAGTCAGAAGAGAGCTCCGTAGAGCGTGGGCTCCAGTAGAAAAACACAAAGCTTCCTTTGTGACAAAGTACAACCTGAGAAACATCCACAGGGCATTAGCTTGTATGTATGTGTGCCAGTAATTTCAGAGACCAAATGCAAACACAAAGAAGCCAAGCATATATACACACAGACTTAAATAAAACAGGTTACATATCTCTGCTAATTATAACATTTTTCACAGTTTATTCACACACTGTCCATCTTTTTCTGTTGAATTGTTAGACCTTACTATTACTTATGCCGGCCATCAGTTACCCGATTCAACAACTTGCTTACTTGTCCTTCAGGGCCAGGTAAACCCGATAGAGGGAAGGCGGTGGACATCCGTATAAAACTGGAACAATCACATGACCATCAGTCTTCGGTGAATCAGCTTCATCCTCTCTTTACCTCTAAATGAACAGTTTACTTGAGCATTGAAACATTTTCTACGCTCTATTTGAATGTACAGATTCTGCTTTTCTGCCTTGTGATGCTGTGGAATTTTATTTTGTTGCCTGCAGATCCTAATGTGTATACTGTTCTGGTTTTACCTTTATGTTCCTCTTTTTGTCTGTTTTTCAGAACTGTTAGCTCCACCCACCCGACTGTACACTAGATCTCCGTCTTCAGGTTAGACTTTTTATCATCTTTTGGTCTCAGTCCACAGGATTAAAGTTACTATGGTCATATAAATAACTGGTATGAAAGAATGTATACTTTCTCGATCCTAGAAATGACAAATTACAGGGCACTGTCAGCTGCAAAAATCTCTGGTTGAAGAATTTAACCTGAACGTCTATACATTTTAAATTCTGTAAATCTTTTGCATAGGTGTTAATTATGATAATAGTAATACTTGTGCAGCAGAAATAATGTAATCTGCTAATTTGTAATGCGCAAATGAGTCAGTCATGTCAGCCAATATTGTTCCCTCATGCGTACTGCATCTATAACGCTACACTTATAATCAGATTTACTATTCAGTTGTTGAAGTTTTGACCAGACATCCCTCTTATTCCAAAAGCAATCCCATAAATCACACTCCCGCTGGGAGATGCAGGCATTTGCCATGAGCGGTGATGAGAAGAAGGATGATGAAGATGAGAAAGAGGAGAAAGGGGCAGGTGATGCTGGGCCAGACGTCTGCTCAGGGAGGTCGAAGCTCTTCTGACACCCGGAGGACACTTGAGAGGGTGACTCACAAAGAGAGGCCGGCTTTTGCACAACTACGTTTCCTTCCACCATTTTCTTTGCCTGTTCACACATCTGTTGCCTAGCTGTACATTTTTTTTCTACCTGACCTCTGTTTCTAACGTGCACGTTCGATCCACAGATGTAATTGTTTCATTTTGAAAGGATATAAGTTTGGTTCATTTGTATAACCGAAGCCCACACGTATACCAAAAATTAAGAATCAAAGACATGATATAAGAAAATATAGAGTTAAATGTGGTCATTTAGTGGGTTGAAATCCAACAAAGGACAGTATTGCTGCGGCAAACACAATCGCACACTTCCTTCTTCTTTCCGGGCTGGAAGTAGTTTAATTTAAAACCATAAGCCACAATTAAAGGTGCATTGTATTGTGAATAAGCTGAAATGGCCTTAAGAGTTTAAAGAATTCTTTTTTTTCTTTGCCTTCGAGTTATTTTACCTCATGTTTGTCACTCATGTGTTCTGCAGCAGAAAAAAAGGGACAGCAGTATTAAAGTGTAAACAGCTCCGTTTGGAATCATTAGAGGCGCAGACATATCCTAAAAATGGTCACGCTTCATCACAGTCTGTATAGTCTATGGATAGCTAACACAAGGATGTTTCCATTACTCAGTGACTTAACTGCTTTGTGTGACATGTCCTCTGAGTCTCTCTTTTCTTTTTAGTTTGATTGTAGTTTTATTTATTGATTTGTTTTCTCTAAAGTGGCATTTACAACAGATAGCTGTGATAGTGTAGCTCTACATTCAGCATTTGTCATTTTGCTTGTGTTGTATGTGTTGCTTTGGCAAAAATAATGACATCTGTAAAGCTTTGTCTGTTTCAGGGGTCAAATCTCGTTCAGTGCAATGTAATTATAAAACGGTGAATATTTATTTGCTTTTGAAGTGACTAAGTTTCTACAACTACTGCTACTGATTTTGTAAATAATTCATTAGTTGGAGGACGTGGTGTAAAATGAAGGCGCCATTGATTTTAAATAAGACTGAGAAAGATCTTGGAATTACTGCCAATTTAACAGTTTACTCTTGTTTTCATAATTTTTTAGAATTGATTTCAAAGCTATTCAGTTTTTTTCTGTGAAAGGGAAAATCTCAATGTACACTCGGCTGATAATTTCAGTTGCCTTATGTCACATTTGTAATGGCGTAAGTAAAGCTAGTCAAAGAAATGGTGAAAAAGCAGCAGGGTTTACAATGAAATGAATGTTTTGCTCTTGCTTGTTTTTACTGTAAATAAATTCCCTGAGAACTTTATAGTGTGTTGAATTCACTTTTTGCCACCTTATCCATTGTACTATTTTGATACACACTTTTAAAAATTCCAACACTTTCTTTACACACATACATACATATATATATATATATATATATATATATATTCATTCCTCCACAGGGTGGCTGGGCTCTCCCTTAGAGATAGGGTGGGAAGCTTGGCCATCCGGGAGGACTATGTTTCTCGGCTGGCCTGGGAACGCCGTGGGAGGCTGGAGGACCTGGCAGAAGAGGCAGGGGAGAGGGAAGTTTGGCTTTACCTGCTACGGCTCCTGCCCCCATGACCAAACCCTGGATAAGCAGTGGAAAATAGATGGATGCACATATATACATATATATTTATATACCAAATTATATTGATATTGTTGCATACAATAGTGAAAACTTTGTTGGTGCCACATTGAAACATCCATGTCTTTATTGTTTATTTGTCTATATGTGCATTATAGTAGTCGAAGTACTGAAGGTTAGCCTTTCAATGACCACATCTGCAGCTTGAGCTATATTCAAAATTTAAATTTGTAATACAACAGTATCACAAATGAAAATCTGCTAATTCACGTAACATAATATATATTTTCCCATTCTGTAGTGTGCTTTGGTAAGTGTGGGGAAGCTATTATCTATAAATCATATAAGTGAAAACAACAAAGATACACAAATTAAATTTTTCCTATGTCAGTTATATCTTCTTGGACAGACTCATATTATTTTTGAAAAATATTGTGAAATGTTCTTTTCTATCTAACTAAATAATTCCAAGTAATTACTATTGTTGCGTTAGACGTTTTGTTCGGCTGTTTTTTTCTTCAGTTTGTGGTCACTGTAGAATGAGTATTTCACATTACTACAAGTAATATTACTACTGTTAATACATTTTTCTTCCCGCGGAACCTCACTGTGGGAAACCAGAAGCGACGTATAATACGTGTAGCACCAACCGGAAATGGATATCTGAAGTCACATTGAAGTCTAAACCTCAGTCTCGGCAGTAGCAGGTGTTGTAGCTATTTTAATGTAATAGACATCTTGTATACATTTATGTACATAAGAGAAAACATAGCTATTGTTTTTTAGTAATCGTAAAACTTTAGCTAGATGATGAACCTTCACGTCTCCTCTAGAGCTACATTGCTAGCTAGCACGACGGTTCAGCTATAACGTTCCGCCCGGCAAATTTAGGGTCACTTTATATTTTTGTTTTTTGTTTTTGCTTATGTATATTTTAACACTCAGTAATTTAGTTTTAAATATTTTATGAAAACCAGTAATTGTCGGTAACTTGCATTTTGGTTGCATAATGTAATGCCAGTTGGACGTACACTATGGCTGCAGTTGGTGGTCATTTTAACTTTAAGAAGTCTGTGAAGGTCTTTTGAATCTCGTGATGATGTTCCTATTATTTAAAATGGCACGTATTGTTATTATGATAAGAAGCCTGACGCACGGTGTAAATGGACGCTTCGAGACAAACATTAAAGTGTGAAAGACCAATATTATGTACAAAATATACAAAACAACATCTTATAAACACGTCTGTTAGGTACATTCTGCAACAGGAGAAGACTAAAAGAGAACCAGAATAATAATCCATATGATACCCACAGCTGCATACGTATTCCATACTTTTGGTTACTCCCTGCATCTCATTGGTTGCTTAGTCTCATTTGACTTGTTTTTAGTGATTACTGTTTATGTAGTGATATTTTGAGAAACTGCTATTTTATTTAACTTGTTTGACAGCGTTGTGTTGGATATGTGACTGAGCTTTTCTCATGCCTGCAGGACCGGTGATCAGTCGACCCATTCCTGATGACTTAATTTTGCTGACCATTGATAATGTTTTCCTCAAAGGTCGTCCCTCGTCTGAATCTTTTACGCAGAGCAACGAGTAAGAACGAACAAATCCGTCCTCATTAATGCCTGTGTTTTCTTTATTTTTCCTGTAGTTCTGAATCAGGTTGTCTGAACCTGTCTGGTCACAGAGAATCATTAATGTGTTGCTCATATCTTGCTCAGCTAACGCCAAATGATAGTTCTTTTTCATGCTTTTATACTTATAATATCCAGCATATATATTACTGTCAGTTGCAAAGTCGTCTAATCTTGAAATAAAGTGAGGGGTTCTTAGTTGTAAAATTTCAAACATCGAGAAAAACATCTCACAAAGCTCTGTTTTTCCCCCAATGTTCAGGTGCATTTCAAGCCCATGGAGAACTATTCAGTGGATGTGCGAAACCAGTCATTCCCGCTCGCAGCTCCTCGCTACAACACAAACTCGTTAGAAACTACTCGACAGCAGCAGACAACACGTCCCCTCCGCGGTGGATCCAGCTGGAACCCGAGCTGGACGAGGCCCTCGTGCCGCGCAAGCTGTCGGTGAGCCCCCTGGAGAGCTGGCTCTCTCTGCGCTACTCCCTCCCCCCCCTGCTGGAGGCCGCTCAGCCCCAGGGGGACGCGGGGCTGCTGGAGGAGATGGTCCTGCCTCCGATCTCGGTCCCGGTTTTGGAGGACGGAGAGGGATCGGCGACACCCATGAGGTGTAAGAATGTCCTCGAGATCCGACGGCGGAAGATGAACCGGCATAAGTACAAGAAGCTGCAAAAGCGGACAAAATTCTTAAAGAGGAGGGTGATGGAGGGCAGAGGGAGGAAGAAGCAGGTGAGGAGGAATGGCTTTGATGTGGTTCAGCATGTAGTCAATTCCAGATGTGCTCTAGTTAAACCAAGCTGTGTGTTGCGTGCAGAAACGGTTTGAGGAGGATCTGGAGAGGATTTGGAAGCGAGCTGGGCTGAAGAAGGCTCCAGAGGGATGGACAGCACCTAAGATCTTCATCAAGCAGCACGGGAACAGGAGGAGCTGAGAAACACGGCGCAGCAGACGCTCGTGCCGAGGCATGCAGTTGATTTTTAGTGTACATAATGCAATAAAAACAAAAAAAAAACACTGTAAACTCTGACACTGGTCGTTTATTTTTGTTTCCCTCTCTCTCCTCTCTTTCTGTGGATGGCCACAGTTACGTGAAGTGTTGCTTTAAACACTTCCCTGAATCCACCAGTGGGTGTCGGTATGGTTCAGAGGTTGGGAGGAACAATTAGCCAGGGAAAAGAGTGAACGATAAAAAGGTCCCATGAAAAACATCTCTTATGGAGACAAGGTACAGAATAGATGCTAAATATGAAATCCACCGATCTATCTATTTTGCTTTCCTGTTTAAATTGTATTGCATCGTGTTTTAAACCAAAGAGTGTCACATTCTCTGAAGATGAGCAACAGCTACTTATGATGCTTTTACTGTCTTAACATGTGAAAGCCAAGTTACTCTCAGTGTCTCTTATGCTTTTTGCCACCTCCTCACATCTTTTCTGCTCTGATATTCTTCTAGTATGTCGAGCTACCAAAACCTTTGAAAAGCGAATACTCTTTTTTTCCCCCTTTTTTGTGAAGAGTGCAGCAGGAGTGTTAGATTTCATGAGGTGGCGGAGGCGGAGTCTGTGTGGACTCCGGGCGGCTGGCTCACAACAGAACACAGCTGCTCCTCGCTGAACTTTTTAAAGTATTCGTGGGTCTTAACAATTGATGGGCGCACCACCTCTGACGGGCTCTCACCTCCGGCACCAGCACTAAGAAGAAGATGCACCCTGAAATGGCGTTCCTTATGAGTAAGTCCTGAAAGAAAAAAAAGAGCCCAAAAGACTCATTTTTGTATGTTTGCCTTAATTGGAAACAGGTCAGAATGACATTTGAGCTATTCTATCTATCTATCTATCTATCTATCTATCTATCTATCTATCTATCTATCTATCTATCTATCTATCTATCTATCTATCTATCTATCTATCTATCTATCTGAGCTGCAGAACATAACAGGAGTTTACAGGAGTGCATGATCCATGTGGATTATTATTCCCATTTGTGCGCAAATAGCTCTACTACATTTGAAATGTGCATGGATAAATGTATCATTCTACAAAGTCCAAATAAGCAACAACTCAACAAAACTTTTTTTCATGTGCTAATTCACAACCTGGTTTAGTTTATTCTCATCTTGTTATTACTTATAAGTAATGGAAATATGTTGGTAAATACAGGTCAACCCCACACATGTTGTAATGCACCACATAGAATCCTCACTTTTATTTGTTTGCAATAGTTGCGCAGGCCTGGTGTGTCTAGTTTTCACCAACAGCCTCTTTTCTTCTCTCATCTGAGCTGAGCAGAGAATGGAGTCAGGTCGGTGAACCTTAAAGCAAACCCCCAGCCTGCAGCGGGGTGGCATAGCTGGGCCCGCTGATATGTCGCACAGTGTTGTGAGTGTGGGCTTTTATGGCTTCAGCCCAATATGTTTCCAGTTAACTGTGGTCTGAGAGAAGGAGTCAGCACAATCCAGCAGCCACTCATTATATGTGTCTGTAATGAGTGTTTTACCACGAGTGGCTCGTTGTGAGTCCGCTCGATGTGGAGGAGGAGGCCTGGGGGGGGGGGTCTCGCTGTTTATGATGGCTGGGTCTGCTTTAATAGGCCACCACAAACAACAGGGCATGGAAAAGATTGGAATTGCTGTTTTCGAGTCTAGCAAACATACAAGTGTGCAGGCACCCATTACAGGCAGAAAAAGACGGGGCTTATGATGAAACGCTGTGTTTGGGATCTGGAAAGACCCAGGGGGCCGTACACTTTTGGGCTGGCCTGGTCCTACAAAAGTTTACCCACACACTGACTGGAACAGATGTGCAGAACACGTTTGCCACACAAAAATCAGGTTGACGTGATCGCACAGGTCTGGCCTTCGCTTGCATCTGAGATGCACACCTGAGTGTCCTCAGGATAGTCAACACACCCTCCAGGGCTCTGAATATTTCCTTGTTTGTTTCGCTGAGTCGGCAGCTGTAAAGGTTAGCGTGATTTATCCTCCTCAGACTGACGGGGCTATGAGTAAACTTTACACCCACACAACGCTCGTGAATCAGACAAATGCTGCTGACTGGGTTCATTTTTTGCGTGTTCCCGTCATACATGAAGCCTTTTTTTTTTGCCTTTGCTTAGCACCTTTCCCTGCACGCGTCACAGGATTTCCAATAGCAGCAGTGATTCGCAGGCCATTCAGCAAATGCCTGTTATTATCGCTGGTAATTCAGGAGCTCGTCGTTAAGTCTTAAACCGGGCCGATGAGTCAACGGGCTTCTGTGTGTGTTTAATGAGGGACAATTACAGGGGCTGGGACGCTTTGTTTTACCATCTGCAGGAAAGTTTCTACCCCAAAAAAGAAAAGCCGCCGAAATTTTCCAGGATGAGGTGTCCCGTCTGAAGCCAGCGTGAGTGGTAAAATAGTTATTTGAGGGTTGAAAAAAACTAAACAATGCCATCATCGATTTGTTGTGTAAAATCGCAGTAGCAGCTTTCAGCTTTGTCTGTTATCTGGAAAAACTATTCATCTATAATACAGAGTAAATATATGTCATAGGGGGTAAAGGTTCAAAGTGAAAATACGAAAGCAAAATACCACAAGTTTGTTTTTTAGGCAGTTGGGTAAGCATCCGTTTCACCACTCCTCTTCGGGATTTTTACATGATTACATGTTGATCTAACTTTGGATTACTTCATTCATAAAGCATTTGCTTATTATTGGCTGTACGGAACTCAATCTCCCCACCCTCACTCCCAAATTATTCTCCACACAACAAACATCACACATTTTGAAATCTTATGGTATGATTTCTGATTGAATATATTCTTTGAAAGCTTTCTTTTACATTTACTGATCATTTTTATTTTCCTTTTGAAGCACCTCAATCTTCCCTATAATATTTTCCACATGCTGACCCTGAATTTAAAATAGCCTACCAAAAACACACAGGTGTTTGGTCATACTGCTGGACTTTTAGAGTGTGGCGCTGCTTGTCCATCCCTTCAGGATCACGGCCTTCCTGTGAGCCATCAGCAGCCGGATGAATAGAGGCTCTGTCTGCTTCTGCCGCATGTGTCTGCACCGGCCCTTCGGTAAACAGACAAAGAAACAGCACTGTGGGAAAAAATGCATTAGAAATAGCAAGTGCGCTGTAGGAAAGTCTCCAGAGCTGGTAAAACACAAACAGCCAAATGCAGCCAGTATATCCAATCTGCTGTTGTTTTCCTGATCCAGACGTTTATTCCTGTTTTTTTTTTTCTCCAAACTGTCCTTTTCTCGAACCCACATCTGCTCCCACTCTGAATTTTTTTAACCTCTTTTTGCTCTGTGGTCAGTGCAAATCAAAATCTCCTGGCACTTATACAGCATTGGGGGTGGGAACGATTGAAGCATTCCTTGGGAGCAAATCTGTGGACTGGTTTATATCTATGAAAAATCTAATCAGAGCAGCTGAAGCTGCTCGTGAAAAGCAAAAGCTAATAATTCCCACCTTGCTCTCTTGCAGTTCTTACCGTACTCTTCCTGCCAGGAGGTAAGCCCCTCTTATCTTGCTGCGTGATAGATTGATCTCCGTCCATGAGGACATCACCCTCATGCGTGCGTTCGTGTTGTGTGCAGCTTGGGGTCAGGGCGGCAGCGTCCGGCCGGGTGCCGTGCTGGAGGCCAAGAACCTCACCCTGCCCGCCGGGTCCCGGGCCGTCCTGCCCTGCCGCAGCCCCCAGATGGTGTGGACCCGGGACGCGCTGAAGGACCGGCAGAGGGTGGTGCACTGGGACCTGGTGCGCAGCAGCCCGGAGTACTCGGTGGAGCGGGTGCTGGACATGTCCCCCGGGGCCCGGCAGAGGGTTTACAACGCCTTTAACAAGGGCCGCGTCTCCCTCCCGGACTCTGCTTTCAGCGACGGCAATTTCTCCCTCGTCATCGACAGTAAGGCCTTTTTTTTTTTTTTTTTTTTGTAACTCGTCCGGTCCCACCGCCGACGTGACTCCCAGAGGCTTATAGTTTTGTTTGGTGGCGTGTTTGTGCGTTTTTGTGTCTTTTGCAGATGTGGTAGCCACCGACAAGGGAGTGTACACATGCAATTTACACCATCACTACTGCCAGATCCACCAGTCCATTCAAATTCAGCTCAACGTGACCAAGTCAGGTGAGGCCATCTGATCCCCCCCCCACACTCTCAGTCACAATGCAGGGCTCTCACGCTGACGTCTTCCCTCCAGCTCGGAAGGAGAAGCGCTACTGGGACGGGGAGAAGACGGTGCTGGTGGTCCTGCTGGGCAGCTCGGTGGTGCTGCCCTGCGTCAACCGCCGGCCGCTGTGGAGGGAGGGGCTCCAGGAGGACCAGCAGCAGGTGGCCCACTGGGACTTCCAGCCCCCCGGGGTGCGCCCGGACAGGGCCGACCGCCTGGTGGACCTCTACGCCTCCGGGGAGCGGAGGGACTACGGGCCCCTCTTCGCCCGGAGCAAGATGAGCGTGGAAGAGGACGCCTTCACGCTGGGGGACTTCTCCCTCTACATCTCCGACCTGAACCCGGCCGATAGGGGCCTCTACTCCTGCCACCTGCACCACCACTACTGCGGCCTGCACGAGAGGCGCATCTTCAGGCTCACGGTGGGACCGCCGCTTCCATCCCACCCCACCACGGTACCCAGAATCTTCCAGAACAACGACGAGCTAGAGCCCAGTAAGCCACTCAGAACCTTGCCCTTCACCGACTTAGAATTGGTAAAATTCCCCCGTATGGTTGAAGGGGGCTGACTGCATTTGGGATTTTTGTTGTATTTATAGGCATATTTGGTCAGTTAAATCAGTTCCCTCTCTCCTCGCCAGCTCTCTCCTCAGCTCTCTCTGTTTTTATGTGTGAGCTGAATAGGGAGGAGGTCCCTACAAAAGAATGCAGCGGCCAGTTGAGTCAGAAAGAAGGAAAGGAGGAAACAATCTTTGTGCCGTTTGTTTTTTTTTGGGGGGGTCTGCAGTAAACAGCTTTATAATGGTTTGACTTTCCTCGCTAATTGCGTATCTGTGGATATGTTAACTCCACTAAACAGAGGCTTCAACATCAGATGATTCAGAGCGTGGGTGGTCACACACTCTGCTTTGTCCTTCGTTTAACCTCATTTTCCCCCAAAAATACAACAACAAATGTCCCGACTGTGAGTCTGGACTGGTGACACAGTATCTTCAGTTTAGTTTTATTCTCACTTTCCCAATCTCCGCTTAGCTTGTCTTCCGATGTGTGTCAGCCTCTGGCCCAGCCGTGTTTACTAGCAGTAGAAGGAAGTTTCGTACATCTGTTTGACATCTGGGCCAGCTGTTACATGAAAGAGCAGCATTAGGGGAGGGGATGAAGTTATGTGTTGGACCATAGATTCTTCTGCCTTTTAAAGAAATGGCAGCCCGTTTAATATTGCTGTAAAAAGAAATGCTGAAAAAGAAATGCACACGTGGACCAATGGGGTCAGCTTCCACCGTTCGGAGTTCAGCCTCTCTCACTGCCTCGTTGGTCTAGTCCGACGGGTTAAAACTCACATATCTGTGTCCTCCCCGTTCCGCGCAGTCATCCGAACTGATTAATGCCACGAGAGCCTTTCTCTTAAACGCTGCCATTAGCCGCGTCCAGAACAAACTAACTACTGCTTTGTTATCACAAAGGCAACATGTTTGGAGCTGTCAGAAATCCAGCTGAGATCTCAATCTGTGAGCCCTGGTGCCGCTCTTCGTCTGGTCATTGACTTGTAAATGATGCGCGTCCCGCTGAGTAACGTTTCAGAGAGTGCAGATGAATCTCTGTGCAGCATATGTGAAATGGCCTCTGACATGTAAACCCGCACAACCAGTGTGTGAAGGAGACGGTAATGGGCTGCGGCTGTGGCTCTCTACTTGTTAGCCCTTCTCCAGAGACGTGTCCTTGGATATCTCCTTTTATTTCCACGCATATGTGGGACATTATACAATGACAGCTCATAATTAGGACACAATCTCCCCCTGAGAGGGTGAATGATTAAGTCAAAATAAGTCCTTTTTTTTTACCTCTCAGTTGTGAAGTGTTATGAGCCTCTAATTTAGCTGCTTTCCTGCTAGAGTCAATGGTAAAAACCTTGTTAAAATGTACCTAACGGACGGGAAAACAGTAGGTGGGATTTAGTGTTCAGTTTCTGTGTTTAGACTCGGTAATCTTGGTCAAACATCCCCAATGTTCAGGCCGACATTTCAGGCACGAAGCTTTTAACCGATAAACTTTCCACAGCATAAAGGCAGAAACTGGACTCCTGTGAATGCAGGCAGGCTCGAACAGCCATAAAATGGAAAACTAATACAGACGCGCACACAAACCGCATTACAGATTTTGCCTTCTGCTGCCTGGCACTTCTTTTTTTTTTTTTTTTTCCCTGGTAAGCCTGTGTTTTTATGAAGAGAAAAAAGGAGAAAAAAAAGAAGGGGGAAAAAAAGAAAAAGAAAAACAGCTGTATGACATCAGGTCTGGAAGCCATTACCGCCAAGCAGCTTTCTGACACTTTAACCCTCTGCTCTCTCTCTGGCTGTCCAAAACAAATGAAAAAAGAAAATTCAGTTTGATCCTTTTTTTCTTTTAACATCATGTTAATGTCGTAACAAATCACGCAGGGTTCAAATCCAGCACGAGCGTAGCTTCACCGTGAGGTCGCCCAAATATTCAGCTCTTCTTCATTTGCTTGTGAGAAAGCTGTTTTTTTTAAGGATGCTTTTTGGTTTTGTCCATTTTCTGCCTCCAGGGACAAAAGAGGTGTTGCCACACGAGGAGGGCCCACGGGTGGTAAATGTCTTCCTCCCTGAGCATCGAGGTTATTTTGTGCATCATCTGGGCTACTTCCTGGCAGCCTTCTTCCTTCTGGCCTTCATCATCATCGCCGTCATTGTGCTGACCAAGCGACGCAAAAAGAGAGGTACTGGGTTTAGGCCTCCTCTCCGTCCTGACTAATATCTTCTCTTTTAATTTATGAATGAGTTCTTATTCTTACAAAAGGCCTGAGAAATTATATGTTTAATCTAGATGATGCTTTACATCCTTCTCTTTGTTTTATTTCAGATGTGGAGTATGAGCTGGGTCGATCTGTTCGGTAAGTCCTCCACTCTTTGGAATTGTTCCGTGTTATCTCTTTTGTATGAATGGTAATCTGAACAACACTTATTTCTGAGCAGGGGAACCATGACCAATGGAGGTGAAATAGCCTTTGACTGCACAGAGCTGAAGGCCTGTGACCAGGAGCCTTTACACTCAGGTACAGTAAACCAGAGACGTCGCTATACACAATAAACGAATCGCACACAGCCTTCTTCTCATCTCTGCATCTGCTACGATCCGCAGACTACAAGAACAACCTACTGAAAGAAAGAGACATGACCAAAGACTGCAATAAGGGTGAGACATTCTGCAGGACTGTTGATGCTGTCAGTGCACAGCTGATGAAAAGCTCACATGCTGCTGTCATGATGTCTCTTCACTCAGAGTTCGATGGGAAGATGTGGAAGTGAGGGCGATATTTCCTAGATGCTGCTGGCAGGTCCAGGGCAAACACCAGAGGGGTGAAGGACCGTGGAGAGAAAAAGAAAGAAAAGGAAAAAGAAAAAAACCCAGGAAACGGGGAGAGGACAGGAGGAATGCTCCCTCTGCTGTAACCAAAGCACACAAAGCTTTTTCTTTCAAAGACATCACTTAAAAAAACTAAAACAACATATTTCTTATATAAACTTGCTTTTTTAATCAGTATGAGTATATGTTTAGATATATAATTGATCATTAGTCTTTGCATTCATTGTCTAGTTCGTGCTAAGGCATATATTTTTGAATTGTCCATTGGTTTGTTTTCTTTTAAAAAAGCAAAGTGCATGTTCTTTATTGAGATGTGACTATCATGTACTGTGCATGATTTCAGAGCAGCAGGGTCTTGCTTACTGTTGATGTTTGTATCTTTTTCTTTTTTTTTTGTTACACAAATTCTGCTGTACTGTAATTTCCAAAAGGCATTTAATTCTGCTTCAAATATCAATTTACTGTATGCAAAAACATCAATATGAAAAGTACAGAATGCCTGATCTTGACCTATCCGTCACAATATAAGCATACAATACAGGTCCCATGGCCAAAAATCTTCTGATTGGAAATCCGTTTAGGTAAATGGATCAAACAGCATTAGGGTAGACCAAGAGCTTTGGCTGTGGGAACTCAGGAAAAAACTATCTTTTAATAACCTCCAAACGAGACGAGCAGCACTTGTTTGCATAAAGCACGGTCAGTGAAAAGCCCCGGTTTGTAAAACTCACGGTTTTATTCACGGTTATGCTTGTAAAACGACATATTTGCTCCAAACTACTTGGTCGTACTTGTACGAGGTTGGAGCGTGAGCGCCAGGTTTGCCATTGATGCTAAATCACCCAAACTGTCTCTCACACTCCGCAGTTAAACCTCTCCTGATTAAAGACCCCCCCCTGTTACATCACCACTGCTGACTTTACGCGCAGAGACTGACACAGAGAGACAGTATAGGGCATGTTTCAGATTTCACATTTTGGCGTGTACGGATTGTGATCATGAGTTTATTTTTTAAGCGGGCGTCAGTCATAATAAAAGCAAGAGATGGAAAAAAAACCCCAACAACAACAACCCTTCATTTGTCCACCCCTTTGTTCCAGCACTGCGTCCCGGCGTGCGTTGTGTAAGCGCACGGCCCGGGCGCGCCGCTAGATGACAGCACTGTCTCAGCTATTGGAGCCGGAGCGATATATATTCCCGACTCCGTATCGCAAGGATGTGGACTGTCCCTTCCTGTTTTAGTGCCGAGAGAGCCACCGTAGCGACTCTGAGCGGAGCAGGAATACAGCCACTCGCGGCGCGATTATGTCGGGATCGTCTCGGCGCTGGCCAGAGACCCGGAGCCCTCTCACCCGCCGCGGGCTGCGCGCTTTCCGGCCTTAGGCACCGCCGCGATGCCCTTCTCCCGGTAGCCGGGAACGCAGCAGGCCTGTCCGCAGCCCTTTTTCCTCTCCGAGCCTCAATGGTTGTCCTCCCCTCTCTCTCTCATGGCGGAGACTAAAATAATATATCACATAGACGAGGAGGAGACTCCTTATCTGGTCAAGCTGTCGGTTTCTCCGGAGAAAGTCACCTTAGCGGATTTTAAAAATGTCCTCAACAACCGGCCGGTCAACAGCTACAAATTCTTCTTCAAATCCATGGACCAGGATTTTGGGTGAGTGGCCGCGGTCGATGGTTTCTTGTAATTATTATTGGGGTTGTTATTATTAGCCCTCTCGTGCGGCTCATTGGCTGCTCTGGCAGCGTGTGTGTGTGTGTGTGTGTGCGTGTGTGTGTGTGGACATCTGAATTGAGGCCCCGGCTCGGCAGCATCAGAACCGCTGGGTGCGCAGCGTCTGGGTGCGTGCGGGAGCCCCCCCCCCCCCCAGTACCCCTTTCCCGGTCCCCATTTCCCGGTCCCCGGTCCTGGCACCTGCTCGTTATGTGTCTGAAGTGAGACCGGATCCCCTCGTGACGCAGCCCCGCACACAGACGCGGCTCTGCCCCTCTTTTTTTTTGTTTTTGTTTTTTTTTCTTCCTCGGTGTCACTATCGTGGGCGTGCGGGGCGTGCGGGTGTCACGGCCCTGGCCGCAGAGGTTAATGTTCAACCCGGTCAGGTTTCATAATACCGGCCTGTCTTTCACTTTCCCTGCTGCCCGCAGGTGTTCTGTTCCCGGCCCACATGCGCGTAACACCCGCAGGTGAATCCTGATAGTCGGCATATTGGAATATTCGGGGTCCTGTCGGGTGTCAGCCCCCACTTGAATGACCCTGCTTTACGTACTATTAGGCTGATTGTGAATGATTTTTATTTTATCATTATTATTTTTTTACGTTTCCCAGAGAAAACCCAGCAGATTAAATGACAACAGCAATGGGTCATTTGTTTTTCCCTTTCCAGTGTCCTCTGGCAGTTTAATGCTATTAGGAAACCTGATTATGTTTATGGACCCAAAAAGCAGAGCCTTTTTAATGACACGCGACGTGTGTAAGGACATATTATCCAGATAAATCCACCATCTGGACGGGAAACGTGAGCACAAACCCAGCTCTCTGTAACTTATTTGTTCTTTCTTTTCTGGTGAATTCTATCCCAGGAAGTCGCAGAAAGCCTCGGCTGGATGCTGGCTCTTGCAAATAGTTGAAATATTTCCTCCCTGCTTCCTGTCTTCTTTATGTTTCTCTGCTCTTTCCTTTGCTGTGGGAGCCCGTCCCGGCCTACCGGAGAGGCACCGTGTGTCTGCAGGCCTCAGCCGGGGGACGACGCGCCATTGTCTGCGTCTGATCTCAGTCCCGGCATTATTATTTAGCCCGGTAATCACAGACCTCGTTGGGAGAAAATGCTCTGGCAGGCAGACTCCACATGGCCGAGCGTCCCAGGCTTCCTTTTCGGGAGAGCGGCTCTTCCTGGTGGCGGTTTAGGCTCGGTGGGCCGTTTTCTGCCCCCTGCCCTGGCTTCCTGCCTGTCGCACACAGGCCTGTCTTACACCTGGGCCTCAGGTGATCGGCAAGCAGATTACGGAACCAAACAAAGCGTGTTTTGCTCCACATGGAGACAGGAGTCCAGGTTGGAGATGGCTGCAACGTACTGTAGGCCAGCCCCCCCCCTGCACGCAAGTGCATCAGCAGAAGCACGTTTAAATAGATTGTGGACCGAACGTTACTGTTCCTCACAAAGAGCTCTTATGCACAGATCATAAAGGCATCACGAGAAGCAACACCCCCCCCTCCCCTGCCTTGAGTTGAGGGTGAATTTTCGGGCACCGTATGGTACTGGCACAGTTTGGAAGCAGAGCCCGTCAAAGGCAAAGAGGAGAGTAGTTCTTTGTGGTAGCCATTCTGGCTATACTGCACACACAGACAGACACACACAGACACACAGCCAGACACACACACACACAGACGGACAGACAGCGCAGGCTGCTGGAGAATTAGCAACCGAGCAGCGAGACTGCAAAGCAGAGAGGGAAAACATCAAATCCCTTGCAGTGTTATAGTCGGCGTTTGAAATGTAAATGAGCAGTCAGCGCTAGGTCCTCTGTTGTAGACCCCCTGTTGCGGGAAGAAATAATGGAGGAAAAAAAAGCCATGTTCCTAAAGGATTGCTGAACTCCATTAATGCTGGCCGTATCAGCTTTTAAAGCTGCGGCCGCTCACATTTGATAGAGCGTTTGCGGCCCAAAAACACACAGACGGTTAAAACACATGGAGACTGGAAAAACGGGGCCAATTAAACAATGAATATTTCTTCTTCTTCTTTCATTGTTTCTTCATCAATATTCACAAGACGGCGCCTCATTGAGGCCGACTCTGTCAGGAAACGCCGCACTCGGCTTTTTCGGAAAACTCCAAGGTGACGGCGGGGTGTTTTGTCATTGGCTCTGGAGGCTGAGTGGGCCGGAGACCACACTATAATGCAAGTCACAGAGGCACTCCGGAGCCGAGGAAGCAGCCAAGGCGCAGGCCTGAAAGGAACAGTCTTGTTTGTGCCTCGGAAAATAGGAGGCTGGTAAGAGGGAGCTTTCTTCTGCTGGGAAAGTGATGCTGAGCCTGTGTAGTCGGAGGACAGAGTGCTGCAGCTCTTTTGCTGCCTGTCTGTTGGACCTGAAGACTGAGACAGAGTTGAGGGCTGTGCTGCAGTTTCGTGCTATTATTAACTGAGCTCCGGACGAATTGAAGCCAAATCAAGCCGCTAATCAAGCCACACAATGAATCGTGTGTATTTACTGTCTTATTTTCCATTGGAAGATTTTGCTTCCCTGTTCTTCATGTCATTAACATCTGCCCGCCAAAGTCCTTGGATTGCTGGCCACTTTTTTGCTGGCTTCCGCCTCGAGGTTTTTTTGGTTTTGGCCCGGAGTCACCCGGCCCTGCTCGGCCATTCAAAGCACAAATAAACACATCTAATCTTCCCCTGCTACACACATATCTCCGATGGCAGACTATGCTGCGATCATCAGGGTAAATCTTGTGTCATTATCCTGTGAAATCTGCTAATACCTATTTAAGCCGTCGGTTCTTAGAAGTCAGATTGGTAACAGTAGCGCACGCCACACACATGCCTGGCCTCCCATGGCACGAGGTTTGTCATTTTCCTTGCAGGGATCCGCTTGTGCATGTTGAGGGCTCAGACATTGGGACCCAAACCGGTTTTGATATGAAATGAAAGCTCTTATCATTTCAACGTTTTTTTTGTTCTGATCTCGCGGTTTCACAGGAACAGATGTGTAGACGTGATAAAAAATAAATAAAAAGGCATTACGTCATCGTTCAGGTTGAATGTTTTACCTATTACGACAAGTTGAAATGAACATGAATGCAACATATTGTACAATGTCATCACTTATTTATTGAGAACTGAGCCAAACTGCAGTGAGAGAATCAGTGTGAAAAAACCTGAGAGATGCTTATAAAATACTCTTTATTAATCGATTACCAGTACAGGTGAGCACCTCCATAAAAGAGGAAGCTTTGGTCGTTTGCTGCTCTGGAGCATTCCATTGCGTCAATGTCAAGGAGGAAAGACATCAACAATGATAATCAGGAAACAGTCTGTGAAAGGTTGAGGCCATGTCTAAACAATTTGCTTGATTTTTCTACAGGATTCTGAGATTGATAAGCAGAAGACATTCAAGAAGACTGCAGAAAAAACAAAGAGCTAAATCTCTGGCTCCAGAGAATTAGGATCGCAAACGTTAAAGTTTCTGACAGTGTAATTGAGACAAAAGGTATGACTTGTTTGGATGAGGAGAAAGATGTTCTCTCTCTAGAAGTAAATTGGCAACCTGGCTTGGGTTTGCAAAGCTACACCTGAACAATCTACAAGACTTTAGGACCAATGTTCTCTGAAGAAATGAGACCGGGGTAGAGATGTATCCCGTTTGATGAAAGCATAGCAATGCAAACAAAGTCATACCAGCTGTCGAGCACAGCGGCGAAGGGCTGACAATTTGGGCTTGTTTTTGGGCTTCTTACATTCATTCTGTCAGCTACAGACACCTCTATATACCCAAATATTCACGTGTTTTGATGATTAAAAAGGATCCCAGACCTGGCTGTAACTTGGCAGCAGACTCTCTGAGAGGGGGAAAGAATCGAGGTGTTTGCAAAGGTCCCGTCAAAGTCAGCGGAAATCAGCGGAAGCCATCGCTACTAACCACTATGAACCGAATTGAGGGTTTAAGGAAAAAGCCGGCCAAAATTCCTCCTCAGTGAGAGGGAGACGGCGAGACTGGGAACTTCATGCAGAAAACTGTGTTGTTGCCGCTAAAGGTGGATCCGCAAAACCACTGAATTATTCAGTACTCAGTTTTTCGCACGCGGCTTTTGTACCTAAAAGCAAATAATTGATCTAATTTTTATGATGTGGCAGCGAGCAAATCTTTCTGTTTGAATGGCTTCTTGCTGTGTAAATAGTCGGGCTGAAAAAAAAAAGGGTTAGACTGCTTATCAAAAACATGTAAGGTAGCCGTTCTTTTACAAATGCTTGACGGGAATGAGCTGAAAGCTCATTCCCGTCAAGCGTTTGGAAAGAAAGCAGAGCAGCTATGTTATTTGTGCGGGCCACTCCCCACATCCTCACAAGTCGCATTACAGCTGG